AGCGCCCAGCGCCGAAGACTACTGCTAACGCTACTACTACTACTGCAGCGCTCCTCCAGAGTGCTCTTGCCGAATCCTGAAAACTGCCTCCTGCCTCCTGCACGTGAAGTGTCTGGGAAGTCCCTATGAAATACCTCGTGACTACCTCCTGACTGCTTGCAGCCTGTAGGGCGGGTCAGTCTTATATAGTGCTGGCCCGTCCAAGAGGCTGCTCTTGCCAATGCCGAAATGTGCCAGACCCTGGCGTTGAAGTTCAAACAAGGGTTGTCTTGATAACAGGTCAAAAATGGCCTGTGCTAAAACCCTGGTCTGGTGCCTAAGTTTCAGGGCAGGTCGATCTTATGAGGGCCTGAAAATGGCCCTCCGTTTCAGGCTGAAAAGACTCAGGGCCTGGAGGGCTCTATTTTAGGCTGAAACGACATAGGGCCTGTAGGCCCTCGTTTTCAGGCTTTCAGGCTGAAAACGACACAGGGCCTGTAGGCCCTTGTTTTCAGGCTTTAGGCTGAAAACGACACAGGGCCTGTAGGACCTTGTTTTCAAGCTTTTAGGCTGAGAACGCTGGTCGGGCCCTGCAGGCCCGTATGGCTGCACAGTATGCCAGAGTGGGATTTGGGGGGAGGTAGGGTGGGATATCTGTTGAGCGATGACGTATCACCTCCCCGCCTGTTTTATATCTTCTACCGAGGTTAGCAGCCGTTTTGTGTGTTTCACATCGGTTTGCTGTGACCTAGATTGGGTTACCTGTGACTTACCAATCGCACCCCATGACTTACTTCCTTTATCTTCTTGCCGACCAGATCACCTTCCAGCATCAGATACCTATCGAAAGAGGTCTTGGCCAGGAAGCGGATCTTACGGTCTAGGTACTCAATCGCTGACCTTGATGTCCCAAATCCTGCCCTCTCTGGAGTCGCCAACCCCTCGCCATGCTGGCCAAAAAACTGGTCCCACATCTCCTCGACTCCACATGGTTTAGGTGGCACGCCTGGTGGCTGATCTGGGAGCGCCCCCGCCACCTCCAATCTTTGTCTTTCCTCCCAAATCTCCTCCACGCGCTTCCCAATGGTGACCGCCCCGAAGCTCACGACGCGTGCACTCCCAGGCAAAATGAAAAGCAGCCTGGGAAATGTGCTGGTGGCTCAAATTGCTCACAAACACCACCACCCAGCAACCCCACCCTACACCAGTGGGCCTACTCACCCTGGACCATCGTCCCACTCTTCAACTAAAATTCAGCCTCCAAGGTGACCATCCCATTTTTATTGGGTCACCCATAGATGGCCCAACTATCATTCCAACTTTAATGGATATCCTGAGGGACCACCCATACATGGCCCAACTATTTTTTTCAAGCTGGTTCATTAAACCACCAGTACCTGGCCCAGCTATCGGACGCGGCGCTTCCCGTATACGCGCCGCGTCGGGAGGGGCACCCACCTTGCAACGACCGGTACCGCCCAAAAGTCGGAATCAAAAACGGAAAAAAAA